AATATATAATGTTAAAAAAACAGGGGATCCTGCAGACCGCCCAAGGGATCCTATAGAACGCTTTATATACATTATAAACAAACAACAGGGGAACCTATAGAAGGTCCTATCGTTGATGCATAATTTTCAAACAACAGGGGATCCTGTTGAACGCCATATAGTATAAAAATGAAAAACAATAATCAGGGGATCTTATAGAACGTCCTAAAGTAGATATATAATGTTCAGACAACAGGGGATCCTGTAGACATTCTAGGGGATCCTGTAGTACGCCCTATAGTATATACATGAAAAACAAACAACAGAGGATCCTATAGAACGTCTTATAGTAAATATATAATGTTGAGAAAACAGGGGATCTTGCAGACCGCACAAGGGATCCTAAAAGCCCTATAGTATATACACGTTGAATAAACAACAGGGGAACCTATAGAAGGTCCTATCTCAGATGCATAATTCTTAAACAACAGAGGATCCTGTAGACCGTCCAGGGGATCCTGTAGAACGCACTGTAGTATATACATGAAAAACAAACAACAGAAGATCCTTTACAACGTCCTATAGTAAATATAATGTTCAGACAACAGGGTATCCTGTAGGCCGCCCAGGGGATCCTGTAGAAAACCCTATAGTATATACATAATAAACAAACAACAGGGGAACCTATAGAATTTCCTATCTCTGATGCATAATTTTTTAACAAAAGGGGATCCTGTACACCGCCCAGGGGATCCTGTAGAACGCCCTATAGTATATACATGAAAAACAAACAACAGGGGATCCTATACAACGTCCTATAGTAGATATATAATGTTGAAAAAACAGGGGATCCTGCAGACCGACCAAGGGATCCTATAGAAAGCCTTATAGTATATACATGATAAACAAACAACAGGGGAACCTATAGAAGGTCCTATCTTAGATGCATAATTTTCAAACAACAGGGGATCTTGTAGACCGTCCAGGTGATCCTGTAGAACGCCCTATAGTATATACATCAAAAAAAAATCAACAGGGGGTCTTATAGAACGTTCTATAGTAGATATATAATGTTAAGACAACAGGGGATCCTGTAGACCGCCCATGGGATCCTGTAGCACGCCCTATAGTATATACATGAAAAACAAATAACAGGAGATCCTATAGAACGTCTTATAGTAGATATATAATGTTGAGAAAACAGGGGATCCTGCAGACCGCCCAAGGGATCCTATAGAACGCCTTATATACATGATAAACAAACAACAGGGGAACCTATAGAAGGTCCTATCTTTGATGCATAATTTTCAAACAATAGGGGATCCTGTAGAACGCCATATAGTATAAAAATGAAAAACAATCATCAGGGGATCTTATAGAACGTCCTATAGTAGATATATAATGTTCAGATAACAGGGGATCCTGTAGACAGTCTAGGGGATCCTGTAGTACGCCCTATAGTATATACATGAAAAACAAACAACAGAGGATCCTATAGAATGTCTTATAGTAAATATATAATGTTGAGAAAACAGGGGATCTTGCAGACCGCACAAGGGATCCTAAAAGCCCTATAGTATATACACGTTGAATAAACAACAGGGGAACCTATAGAAGGTCCTATCTCAGATGCATAATTCTTAAACAACAGGGGATCCTGTAGACCGTCCATGGGATCCTGTAGAACGCACTGTAGTATATACATGAAAAACAAACAACAGTCCATCCTATAAAACGTCCTATAGTAGATATATAATGTTCAGACAACAGGGTATCCTGTAGACCGCCCAGGGGATCCTGTAGAACGCCCTATAGTATATACATGAAAAACAAATAACAGGGGATCCTATATAACGTCTTATAGTAGATATATAATGTTGAGAAAACAGGGGATCCTGCCGACCGCCCAAGGGATCCTGAAAGCTCTATAGTATATGCATGATAAACAAACAACAGGGGAACCTATAGAAGGTCCTATCTCAGATGCATAATTTTTAAACAACAGGGGATCCTGTAGACCGTCCAGGGGATCCTGTAGAACACCCTGTAGTATATACATGAAAACCAAACAACAGCGGATCCTATATACAACGTCCTATAGTAGATATATAATGTTGAGAAACAGGGGATCCTGCAGACCGCCCAAGGGATCCTGCAGACCACCCAAGGGATCCTATAGAAAGCCCTATAGTATATACATGATAAACAAACTACAGGGGAACCTATAGAAGGTTCTATCTAAGATGCATAATTTTCAAACAACAGGGGATCCTGTAGACCGCCCAGGGGATCCTGTAGAACGCACTGTAGTATATACCTGAAAAACAAACAACAGAAGATCATATAGAACGTCCTATAGTAGATATATAATGTTAAAACAACAGGGTATCCTGTAGGCCGCCCAGGGGATCCTGTAGAAAACCCTATAGTATATACATAATAAACAAACAACAGCGGAACCTATAGAATTTCCTATCTTTGATGCATAATTTTTTAACAAAAGGGGACCCAGTAGACCGCCCAGGGGATCCTGTAGAACGCCCTATAGTATATACATGAAAAACAAACAACAGGGGATCCTATAGAACATCCTATATATATAGTAGATATATAATGTTGAAAAAACAGGGGATCCTGCAGACCGCCCAAGGGATCCTATAGAACGCCTTATATACATGATAAACAAACAACAGGGGAACCTATAGAAGGTCCTATCTTAGATGCATAATTTTCAAACAACATTGGATCCTGTAGAACGACCCTATAGTATAAAAATGAAAAACAATCAACAGGGGATCTTATAGAACGTCCTATAGTATATATATAATGTTTAGACAACAGGGGATCTTGTAGACCGCCCAGGGGATCCTGTAGTACGCCCTATAGTATATACATGACAAACAAACAACAAGGGATCCTATAGAACGTTCTATAGTAGATATATAATGTTCAGACAACAGGGGATCATGTAGACCGCCCAGGGGATCCTGTAGAACGCCCTAATAGTAGCTTCATTATAAACAATTAACAAGGGTTCCTATAGAACGCCCTATAGTAGAATGTTCAGACAACAGGGGGTCCTGTAGACGGCCCAGGGGATCCTTTGAACGTCCTTTAGTAGATGTTTTATATCGAGACAGATTTATTTTTTATTCAAATGCAAACCTAGCAATTTTTTTTTTTCAATCAATCCAAAGCCAGAATTTATTATTCAACATCATACATGCCTATTGAAGATGAATTCAGAATTGTCTTTGAGCAACTGTATACTAGGCCCGATTTTTTTAATTGTCAAAATGAAGGCCAGATTAATTCGTTTCTTTAAACGCAGACCAGACCCCCACCACCCCCTCACACTCCCGTAAAGAAAATTTCTCGTGCCTTAGTACATGTACGTGTAAGCTACATTTTTTTTTCAATTTGCCTACATCAAAGTACTCTTTTAAGCGGATAATAAAAATATTATTAACTCCATAGTATATTCAAAGCCATGGGACCACGTGCATGGGACATTTGCAGGTCTTTACAACATAATTAAGGCACCACTACTGTTTGTCATATATATATGAAATATCATGTATTTTAAAAAGGAATCTGTATTTGCTTAAAGAGGGCACAATGTAATGCGGTACGTTTTCTTATTTTTCATGTGATAAAAAAAATAAATAAAGCAAATTCACCTGAGTGTTACATGAAAGTTAATGATTTTGCATCGTTTTTTTTTAGATAGTTTTACATGTTGAGAATATTCTATTTTTAGCATTAGTATTTTCAGAATCGTTTATAAAAAGCCTATAAATAGAATATGCATAATTCATGATTCGTGACGTAGGGCGGTCTACGGGATCCCTTCTTCCGCTTACCGTAATTTTCCCCCAAAATTGTACCGATTGAAAGCTTGGTTTTACTTCTTTAGCTTGCTCTTACCTGACTTGGTACCATGATGTCCAAGGTAACCAGTCGACAAATTATATAATCCAGAGTCAAAAGTCGGTAATATGAAAATAGTCTATTTAATTACTCATTTATTGTCACATTTCATTCATAAATGTGTGATAGTAACCTCAAAATTTAGATATATTAGCCTCATAAGTACAAATTTTGAGGGAGTATAAATGGAGTCAAAGGGATCTTGTAATGAAAACAAAAAGATACATAAGGGTTGTTCATCATCTCAGAATCATCTTTTGTATCAATATTCAACTGTTTGTATGCAATATTTAATAATTTATTGGAGAAGATATTGCTCTACACTATATTCTTTCATGATGTAGCGTGATTTGTATTTTTGGACAAAATTTTGCACGAATCGCTGCATGCAGATTTCGTTTTAATTTATACTTAATTTCTCTCAAACTATTAAGCTGATTATAACAAAACTTGGCAGTAATGCTTGTCAATTTAGTGATCGAAGTGAGTGAAATATAACGACTGAATAATTCGGACTATGAAGCACCTATGCATTTTATATGGGACAAAATGGCAGCTTCCTACATCACCAACGTCTTGTGATGTCTTACTTAATTGTATATGAATGGTGTTAAAGATATATTTTCGATTTGACTGTTTTATAATGTTCTTCTTGATATTTTGTCTCTTGAACTACTAATTTCCATGTGCAAAAAATATTGATCCCCCACTTTGAATTTATAAAAAATTTGAACCCCCCTTTTCCACATACAGAAAAAAACTTGATCCCCCCTGCATTTTGACCAGCCCCCCCCCCCCCCCCCCCCCCCCTTCCCAGATAAAAAATGATAAGTCCCTTATATATGCCGACAATAATCAGCTGTTTATCCTGTAAAGGAACTAATCATAGCTTACTTCCACTCCAACTGGAAATATAAATATTTGGTTATTATTTACTTTTATTCAATGGAGAAGCCTCTTGTTTTTACCGAGTTTAATTCACTCAAGTATGAGGTAAATTCCTTACCGGAAGGTCTAAGGAGAAGACGAATGTATAGACTGGTTCCTGATCGCAATATTCAGTCCAACAGCGTATGGCTATTAGCTAATACCTGGAACGTAGTACCGGGAACCAGGATAACGAATGTACTATTTTTGATCGCGTAGAGACATATATGTATCTTCTGTAATCTCTGGTCACGGATCAGCAGATCTTTTTCCGCCATTGTTTATTATTGTTTATTGAGGTAAGACAACTTATTTTGAATTGGATCTTGTCAAATAACGGTCACATATTAAGACACACATCCATTTAATTATGAATAACTAGGTTGTTACAAGACGTATCGAATGATTGACATCAAAAATTTAAATAAACGTTGACCTGTTTTTTTTATCAGTCAACATAATAAAGGTGAAATAGAATTTTGGCATTTAATTATATATAACGATAAAATATTCGTCATTGTCAGACTGGTTTATAATGTCTTTCTATTTATACTATCAATGAATGTGTTTACATAAATGATGTATGAATATTTATCATATAATATAATCATGTGATACATTTCTTTTGGCAATATGTTCTGAACAAATACAAGAATACATTGTTATTGAGAAGCAAATTAAGGTTACACATGTTAAAGACAGTTATTCTGTATATATTTTATGAACAAGGACATTCTACATAGGCGGATTTAGAGGGTTTTTCAGGGCCCCCTCTTTTGTGGCAAAAATTTGCTTGATTATATAGGGAATCACTGAAGCATGACTGGAGCGGGCCCCCTCTTAGGCAGTCAGTGGGCCCCCACTTATGAAAATTTCTGGATCCGCCACTGTTCTATTCGTAATATTGATTAGACAAAAAACAATATGCACACATCACATATAATTATATATATGTTTCAAAAATGGTAGATGTGCAAAAGGCATGAAAGGTACATGTACGTAATAAAATCACGTGGAAACCGTTCTTGTCTGTCTTTTTCTTCTATCATCTTGTTAGTTTTTGACAGAACAAAATAATACAAATAAAAAACAAAAAACTACACGGTATGTTCCTATAAAAGTCAGGGGACTTATTGAAATAAGTGATTTTTAAATCACTTATTTAAGTAACAAATTCGAAGTTTTGTCACAAATTGTGATTTTGTAGTTTTACCAAAATTTTAAACACATAGGTTTAGATAATATCTTTTCATTAGTAAAATTGAAAAAAATGAACTTTTTGCTTCTTTTAAGCAGCAAGGTTTATGCCTTTGATGCAATCATTTAGCTGCAAATTCTATTTTAGTTGAAACAATGCTATAAAAATGGCTTTACATAATGAACTGATACTTTCTTAACAGATTTTTCCTAGCAGTGGGAGTATTTTTCCTGTAAAATTCAAGGTTTCATCTTATAGATTATGTAATAAAATTCTACTGTTCGCGATCAAAATTTCACTGTTCGGGGATGTTGAAATTAGTGGGGGTTATTAAAATAATGATACTTAAAGAAATGATTTTTTGGAAGGAAATTGAGGTACATGTATGATACTTAAACAAGTGATTTTTATGTCATTATCCTAGATTTAGTACAAGGTCATCACCTGACATGACCCGGTCATCCTATCAACACAGATGTTGGTTCTGATAATTTTAGCAACATAATTAGTCCCTGGATCATTAGTATTCTATATTTAAAACTACAATAAAATTAAATCACTTAGTCTAGTGATTAATTTGTACTACTTAAATAGGTGATTATTAAAGAAAGACAACTCTTACTTCCAACCTTTTATGGACATAATGTTACTTGAATCAGTGATTTAGAAAATTACTCATTTAAGTAAGTCCCCTGACTGTATAGTTAAACATTATAAAAACTTTAATAATTAGATTTCAAGTGTTTGGCTTTCTTCTATAGGTCACTCAGTTATTTTTGGCATTGCCGTCCGATCGATATTTAGTCAACATAGGGTCCCTATATAAAGTATGCAACGAAAAGAAAAGGAACAAAACGAAAAGAAAAGAAACAAAAGATAATGACAGTAACGGAGCAACCATTTAAGTTAAAAAAAAAGGGGGGGGGGGTATGGTTTTAAGTCTAAGTCAGCAATTTTTTTTGGCGCAAAGCGCAAACAATTTTATTCAGTTTTTCAACGCTGTCAATTAATTTAAGTTTAACACTATAAGGTATGAGAAAAATCTGGATTTAGAATATATTTTTTTTGTCATGATTGTGCTTGAACAGAAGATTTATTTTTATCAAATTGGGGATCAGAATATATTTTTAGGAAATATAGGAATAGGAATATATTATAATAACGAAACAAAATATATGTATTATCTCGTTTTTGCATTTACAACCTTTAAATTGGCCGTAGAATGGATGTTGATAAAAAGTATTTTGGGGATGGTGTTGAATTAGTGTTTAACGTCCAGTACGTGTAAATATTACAGTTGCATATCTGAATGAGTACATTTTATGGTGTTTGTTAAGTAAAATCAATTTGATTCATAAAATTGAGAATGGAAATGGGGAATGTGTCAAAGAGACAACAACCCGACCATAAAGCAGACAACAGCCGAAGGCCCCCAATGGGTCTTCAATGCAGCGAGAAACTCCCGCACCCGAAGGCGTCCTTCAGCTGGCCCCTAAACAAATATGTACATGTATACTACATGTACTAGTTCAGTGATAATGGACGTCATACTAAACTCAAAATTATACACAGGAAACTAAAATTAAAAACGATACAAGACTAACAAAGGCCAGAGGCTCCTGACTTGGGACAGGCGCAAAAATGCGGCGGGGTTAAACATGTTTTTTTAGATCTCAACCCTCCCCCTATACCTCTATATTTGATTCATAAGGGTTCAATGGCACCCTTCCGAGATGTAATTGCTTATATGGCCAAAAAGGTCACCATTACTTTCCATCTGTCTGTTCAGTCATATTTAACACATTTTCATCTCTGGAAATGTGGACCAAAATATAGCCAAACTCGCAAGAATTCTTGCTCGTTCAGGGAAGGTCCTTAACAGCAATTTTCAATTATTCAAGATCAATTTGAAAATATGGCCTGGTAGACAGATGTATACTTTGATTCTAATTGTCAAATCCCCCTCAAAAACTACACAGCGAATTTAATAAAGCTTGTTTATTGCAAGGCATACTTCTTTATCTTATTAAGAGAGCAAGAATAAAATACATTTAATTAAAGTTAATCGTTTTGGGATATCTGTTTCAAAGATGACGACAGATATGTTCCAAATGTTAAACACAATTCCGTTCTCTTTCCCTTGAACGTGACATCACCGAATTGGACGTATCACTCACTGATTTTTCACTTGTATAACCAACACAAATGATGCCACATGTTGAGTCAGATCTGCTTACCCGTCCGGAGTACTATATTGAGCATGAGATTACCCCTGTTTTTGTGCTTTAATTCACATGAAGTTCATATTGCTCAGTCCAGAGTTTTAAATGTGTTTTATGGACAGCTGTTTGTCTTTTCATCGTCTTTCATTTTTTTGCAACGTTATTGCCAATCTGTCTTCCGTAAATTACAAGTTTTAATATTTTTATGGTGTCTTCCGCCTTTCTTAAAAAGAAAATAATTTGCTATCGAACAATTATGGTTCAAACCGATTGAGTGGTCACGTAGTGGTTTGCTCACCTCAATTGAAGCACTGATGTGGACTGAGGTACCTGTTTTGATACTTGGCTATGCCCAAACCAAAACTTGAAAATCATTATTTTTTGCTTCCTCACTATTAGTGATTTAAAGGAGGAAGATCAATAACTTTTCTGCTCAGAGTTGGAATAATGTGTCCTGGTAGGGTAGAATTTCATTTTGCAGACTGTTGCCTGGTGTAGTAACGCGTATAAAATCCAACTCATCATCTCCGTCTTGCACAAAACAGGTGATTATTCAGAACACCAAAAGTGTGTTCTCGTATGCTCGTTCCGATAAACACTGTAGTATTTGTAACTGGACGTTAAACGCTAATTTTTCACTGTCATCCAAATGATTCTTATTAAAAATCTATTTCTAAGTCTTTAAATGCTAAAGGAGAGAACCATGATTGTTCGATAACAAATTATTATCTTTTTAAGAAAGGCAAAAGACACATATATATATATATATATATATATATATATGTATAAACAAGTCTAAATTGAAAACAACGTTCAAACCTATGATTGTGTTGGATAAAAACCGCAATTTTTATACGTGTGCATGCAAAACAAATTTCTTGTTAGAGGGAGCTAGCAGAAACAACATTTTCCAAAAGACCAAAAAAGTGAAAAAGTATATTTTAATAAAACGCATTTGACTAACAGGTCGAACAACAAATGTTCTTAAACCCTGCTGACTGCCATTGGCGATTGCCAAATAAACGGATCACCGATGTAATAAATGGATCTTAATTATAAATTTAATACCAAACAGAAAACAATAAACTTGCGGAAAAGAAGGTATACCTCAAACAAAAAGTGCAAAGGTTTTTGTACACCATATACGGATTTCGACAATTAATGTCACTTCAGTGATGTTAGGAATCGAAACGGTATTTGGAAAGCCAAATAATTTACCTCAATTTAGGATAGACTCTTGAATTTTGAGGAGTCAAAATAGGATGAACAGATCATATAAACCCGAAGGCAAATATAATACAAGCCCAAACGAAAAAATATAAACAAGTCTAAATTGAAAACAACGTTCAAACCTATGATTGCGTTGGATAAAAACCGCAATTTTTATACGTGCATGTGCATGCAAAACACATTTCTTGTTAGAACGGTCTAAATACAGCACAAACAACATTTTCCAAAAGACCAAAAAAGTGAAAAAGTATATTTTAACAAAACGCATTTGAATAACAGGTCGAACAACAAATGTTCTTAAACCCTGCTGACTGCCATTGGCGATTGACAAATAAACGGATCACCGATGTAATAAATGGATCTTAATTATAAATTTAATACCAAACAGAAAACAATAAACTTGCGGAAAAGATGGTATACCGCAAACAAAAGGTGCAAAGGTTTGTGTACACCATATCCGGATTTCGACAATTAATGTCTCTTCAGTGATGTTAGGAATCGAAACGGTATTTGGAAAGCCAAATAATTTACCTCAGTTTAGGATAGACTCTTGAATTTTGAGGAGTCAAAATAGGATGAACAGATCATATAAACCCGAAGGCAAATATAATACAAGCCCAAACGAAAA